CAATTTCTAAAAGCATACTGTTGTCTTCTGAGACAATGTCCTGACCTTGAAGAGAATGCAAATCTGTAGTTGAAAAATGTAAAAGGGGTCTGGGGTGTAGCTCATTGGTGGAGCATGTAAGGCCCTAAGTTCTATGCCCCAAAACAAAACAAATGTAAAAGTATTTTAAACATTATATATATAAAACTCTGGCCTCATTCAGGCTAGGTAGGTAAGCACTCTACCATTGAGCTACATCTCTAGCCTAAACCAAATAATTCTTTTTTTTTTTTTACTTGTAAATGGACACAATACCTTTATTTTATTTATTTTTTTTTATGTGCTGCCAGAGAACGAACCCAAGCATGCTAGGCAACCGCTCTACCAAAAAGCTATAACCCCGGCCCTAAACCAAATAATTCTTACATTTTTTTCCTTTCTTTTTGTCTTTTCCCATTTGATTCTAGAAAGTGGACTTTTTTTTTCCCTATTTTTTGTAATAACACAAAAGGCTAATATATCTCTTCCTTTCACTGGTCTATTCAATCATAAAAGGTTTTTTGATTGCATAGAAGGAAAATGCATTCCCTACAAAGTTATAATAAACCAAGCAAAGGTATAAAACAGAACATAAAAATAGTATGACACCTACGTGTCCCTCTTCCTATCTAGTCAGGTAGTGTTGGGGGTCAAAAGAATAGGGAAGCTGGGCGCAGTGGTGCACACTTGTAATCCCAGAGTCTTGGGAGGCTAAAACAGAAGGATTGCAAGTTCAAAGCCAGCCTCAGCAATGGCGAGGCACTAAGCACCTCTAAATAAAATAAAAATAGGGCTAGGGATGTTGCTCAGTGGTCCAGTGCCCTCGAGTTCAATCTCCAGTACCAAAAAAAAAAAAAAAAGGTATATTAGAGAAATAAAGAATAGGAAATAAACTAATACAACATATAAGCTATTTCTGAGGAAGAGATGATAATGCAATAATAATGAATCTGGTTGTTCCTAGCTGAACCTCCATAAGCACAATAATTGGAATACTAGCTTCTCCACAGTATTCTTTTCTTCTACTCTTTTCTTCTTTTAGGCTGGATAGCAGTAGATAAGGTTCTTGAGGTTCCTATTTGTTCCCCCATCCCTTAGGAGACCCAGTGGCTACACCAGTACACCAACCTGCTCTAGTCACTACCTACATTTTTTATCTGGAGCCAAAGTAAAACTCCTGCAATGAGGGCCATTATCTCCTTGTGACCTCTACCAGTCCACTGTCACCCTGTCCTTCTCTCCAACAACCTTGTGCACAATAGCGTCTAGCCATTATCTGGCACCATGGAAGCTGAGTGGAATCAGAGAAGGGGTAGGGGCTCCTTGATACTCCTTCTCTTCCCGGAAAGTCTCAGGAGATCTAAGGCAGGCATTCATCCAGCCAAATTTCCTTCCACTTATCCAGATTTCTTCTTTTCTTTCCATGTTTTGCATGTAATGATTTTCCCCTCTATTTTTCATGGCTTTCCATGAAACTAACTTGTTGACATATAGACTATATAATCTCAAACATAGATTTTTAAAAAAATTTTTAGGCCAAACCTCCACAGATCTTTGCCCAGTGATTTGTGCATTTGGTGAATGAATACAACTAATCAATTTTCACACTTTAATTACCCCAGGACACAGAACAAATCTTCAAATGAGAAAAAGGTATGCTATGTTTGTAAGCTTCAATCTGATATATAGCCAACTTGAACCACCCATAAAATAAGGGGGAAAAATTCAGAGTAGTCCAGTTTCCTATGGAGTGTGGCAGTACAAAATAAACTTGCCAGGATTGAAGAGAAAGTTCTTTAGTTACTAACTTAATCTTTTACTCTTCCTCTTTTCATCAGTATTTCTATTTTAAATAGTTATCAAGATCCCACATCTTGAATGCATAAAGAAATTGTGGTACATACACACAATGGAATATTACTCAGCCTTAAAGAAGAATGAAATTATGGCATTTGCAGGTAAATGGAGAATATCATGCTAAGTGAAATAAGCCAATCCCCAAAAAACCAAAGGCCAAATGTTTTCTCTGATAAGCAGATGCTGATTCACAGTGGAAGTGGGGTAGAGAATGAAGGAACTTTGGATGTACAGAGAGGAGTGAGGGGAGGGGTGGGATGGGAAGATAAAATGAAACAGATATTATTACCCTATATACATGTATGATTACACTACTGGTGTGACTCTGCACCATGTACAGCCAGAGGAATGAGAAGTTATGCTCCATTTGTGTACAATGGGTCAAAATGCATTCTACTGTTGTGTAAAACTAATTAGAACACATTTTTTAAAAATTTGATCTCACATCACTTCCTTAAAGAAAATTAAATAATGGGGATTTCAAGCAATTGTTCTACAAATCACCCCTTTCCCCCAAAGTAAGTTAAGCCTTCAAATTAGGAAGAAATGCTTCAATCCTGTTTGATATGGGAGTGGAATAATAAGAGAAAAGGGACAAGGGAACTACTCTGATTAAGCAAAACAGGAGGATCCAATACCTTCAAAGAACTAGTCAATTCATGTAACCACTCTTGCCTCTTGAAGAGGAAAACCTGGGCTGGGGATGTGGTTCAAGCGGTAGCGTGCTCGCCTGGCATGCATGTGGCCCGGGTTCGATCCTCAGCACCACATACAAACAAAGATGTTGTGTCCGCCAAAAACTAAGAAATAAATATTAAAAAAAAAATTCTCTCTCTCTCTCTCAAAAAAAAATTAAAAAAAGAGGAAAAACCTAATAAACCTGACTTAAATGAATGAAAGTTCTGACAATGAAATAAAGCAAAGAATAATCTGTTAATACATATACTTAACTGTTTCTAAGGAAGAAAACATATTAAAACTAGAGTCACCCTTTCCTTGCATGTCCAACTTCATAAAAATACTTTCTATGTAGATTCTCATGCATGGGTTCCTTCAAGACAAAATCAGCAAAAACAGTAAGTCCTTTCAAGTCTAGGACTCTAATGCCCATCAAACAAAATGAATTTTGTAGGATACTACATAAGGAGCCTGGCACATATTTCATCAATGATGCTGCCCTCTGGTAATGAGTTCATTAAGAGTTGTCAGCTGAGATGTGATGTCAGCACTGTCCCTGCTTATCACACAACCCTGGGCAAAGAACAGAACCTTTCCACATTTGGCTTGGCATCTGCAAAATGTTAATAATAGAAGAGTGTTCATGTGAATTCATCAGTTAATATTTGTAAGACTTAGGGACATGAATACCACTTCAGCTATTGGTGAGTAACAATAAGTGAATTTATGCCATTTCAGACTTTTCATCACCATGAAATGAAGTACAACTGGGTAAGTTGAAATAATTAGTGACTAAAGTCCTAAAATTGTGTCAGGAAGATGAAGACAGGTTAAGAGCAGGCAGCACTATGGTGACATACATGAAAAGCACAGATTACTTGGAGAGAGAGTGTTTATGAATGCTACTATGCATAGTAAACAACGCAAAACAGAATTTAGCTTTGATGGTCAAAGTGTCTAGAACTCTGTCACAACTATGTGTTGGCAGAGATTAGGTTCAGTAAAATCATGGGAAAAAAGTCAAATCAGTCAAAACCAATTCAGCCTATATACAGCATGTTGTATTAACTATACTTTTTAGCTTATTAAGCAGGATTTATTATATAGCAAGACACAGAACAAATCTTCAAATGAGAAAAAGGTATGCCATGTTTGTAAGCTTCAATCTGATATAGAGCCAACTTGAACCACCCATAAAATAAGGGGGAAAAATTCAGAGTAGTCCAATTTCCTATGGGGTGTGACAGTACAAAATAAACTTGCCATTCCAAATCTGCATTAAGCTTCATGGCAAAAAAGCAGCACATCTCCAACTGAGACTTTTACTTAGAAAAATTGGGAAGCAAAGGGATAAAAACATTAAGCCAGGTATCTAGGTTGAAAGGAGAAGCTGAGGGCAGAGACCAGGGCCTTTCATAGAATTAGTCGTCTCAATTTCTAATCCTCATTAACATAACTGTGACTGGATCTGCATTCTTCTGGCCCAAACCCTCATAGATTTTCTTTCTTTGTCATCCTCACACTCCCTGCTTCTTTCTTTTTTTCCTTCCTTTTGCCCCCCTTTTTTTCCTTCCTTTCTTCCCTCACTTCCCTTTCCTTTTTTCTCTTCCTTCCTTCTTTTGTCCAGAAACTTGTCTTTCCCTGTCTTTTGTCTAGAGATGCATATCTTTAATTGACAATTATACAGCTTACTCATTTTCCCTACCCATTGCTTTTCCTTTCCCTTTCTCCAGGGTATTTCTAGCATCCCTTTAAGGAGAACAATGTGTATAACGACCGGGCCATTTGATACATGGGAAATTTACTCATATCTCAGGATATACTGAAAATCTCCAGATTAATCTCACTGCCCATGGCAATACACAAAAAAAAAAAACCACTTAAAGTCATTCTCTAATATCAGCCTGACTCCTTGGGTAATTATGCTGAGGGCTGGATAGGATAAATAAAATGTATAACATCCAATGAAATATGATTAGGTAGTTTAATGTTCTACTTTTGAGACAATCCTATTTGGCTTTACATTATCAACAATCAGGACATGTTTGGCCTCTGTCATGGGGAATAAATGCCCACTGGCAGCACCAATATCAAGCAGTTGCCACAGGGACACTACTGAATTTTTTTAAATGTATGCATAAGGGGGAAAAACCACAAAGATAATCATATTCCTTAATAAAAGAGTCTCATCAAGGTTCCAGGATGCAATATTTTTTCCTACTTTCTTAGATATGCTTTAAGTAGAGATTACTATGCATATAAATATACTATATTATTTATATATAAACTCATTCCCAGTCATATTTCCCTCCCAGACTATTTGGCTGGATATGTTAAATAGGTGAAATAACAGAAACTATATCAGTTAAATTATTTAAGAACACATTTACCCAGAAATGTTTTAACTTGAATAACCAAAGGCTGTATAAAAATATATACCTACGTACATTGGAACCACTAAAAATTTCTGATTCTTCACATTCACAGCAAAGTAATGCTGCTGATTCAATATCTTCCAAATGAGAGTTCTGTAATGCAAACAAGATCATTTGAGAGATCCAGATGAATGGGCTCATAGCATGAGGGGAAAAGCAAGTTGAAATCACTTAGTGAGTGTTAGCTCAAAGGTGAAAAGCTGCAACTCTGATTAGAGATGGCTATTTTAGAGAGAATACAGCCATCAAGGTGACTAATTAGGTGGTTGGAAAATTGATTAAGGAACGTTTGATTAGCTGAAGCATTTTCTGTGGTTTCCCAATTTGGGCAATGCCCCCCGCCCCACCACACACACACTCCTGTAAACATGGTGCTACTAATCCTTCACATTCTAAATTCTTCCCAGACTAGGGATAGATTTGTATCCAATTATCTTTAATATAACATAGGGCCTGATTAGGGGATTGGACCACTAGTCTTGCCTCTTTAGACCTCTACTTACTTGCCTCTTTATAAGAAGAGCCAAAAGATGTACCCTACTCAAGTCTCCTGCCAGATGCCAGAAAACAACTTAAAACCTTTTCTTCCATTCTCCAATCTCTTTTTCAAAATCTGTCTAGGAGATAGATAAGAACAATGAGACAAGGGAGTGAAACAATTAGCTGGTGTAACATAAGAGTATTTTCCCTGTGACTAATAACACAAAACAGAAAAAGCTCCAACCCTGAACATTAGATTTCATTCAAATGTTTGCTGTCTGGGCAACAGCTGCTGGAAACGGAATTATCCTTAGATAAAGCATTGATACATATGCTTATGTCACCAAAACATCTCACTACTGTTGGCTAAAACTTAGTCATATATAATTACCTGATGGCTAGCCTACTTGACACCTACTTTGATTTTTCGAAACAAGGCTGTGTTTTAACCTGCAGAATACCTGAGAAGATTGAGAGTGCAAATGAACTTGAGTGAAAGAAAGTTACTATTTCATTAATTGCCTTGTTCCTGGTTTAATTCCTTCTTACTTTTTTCTGTACTCCAATCCTTTGCCTATTTTTGATTTTCCTCCTCACAGACAAGTCTTACTGGCCATTATACCTTTCTCTTCATCTTTTAGAAAATAATCCCCCTGGCTTTTTTTTTTTTAAATAAATCAGTCTATAAAATACACAAAGACTTCTAGAAGTCACATTAAGAAAAGCCAAGGATTTGTAGGTGTGGTAGCATACACCTGTAACCCCAGGGACACAGGAGGCTAAGGCAGGAGGATTGCAAGTTCAAAGCCGCCTTAGCAACTTAGTGAGCCCTAAGCAATTTAGCAAGGTCCTGTCTCAACATTGAAAATTAAAAAAGGGATGGCAATGTAGCTCAATGGTAAAGCACTCCTGGGTTAAATTCACGTGCCAAAAAACAATTAATTTTAATTTTTTAAAAAGTAAGTAAAAAAAGAAAGGAAGTGAGCTAAGGTTAATAAAATATTTGATGGAATCAATAAGGTTGAAATCTCTGGATTTGATCCCCAGTACCACAAATTTTTTTTACAAAATTTTTTAAAATAATAAAAATAAGGTAGACATTAGAGTTGTTTTCAATTCTCCCAAACTCTCATACCATGATAATATAGATATTAAGCATATCAAAAATGATCACAGTACATACAAACTGAAAAGAGAAACTTATAAATTAATTAATCCAGATTACCTTTGTCAAGATCTTACAGTTTTCATTCATGTAAATATTTCTGCATATTTATGCTCTTTCAAAATGACCTTCAAGGAAAAAGTCCTGTAACCATGCCTGCATTTCTAAAGACTTTACCATATACTTATTAAAACAATTCATTAAGATACATTTAAGGGGCTGGGGCTGGGGCTCAGTGGTAGAGCGCTCCCCTAGCACATGCAAGGCCTTGGGTTCGATCCTCAGCACCACATAAAAATAAGTAAATAAAATAAAGAATAAAGGCATTGTGTCCAACTACACCTAAAAAATAAAAATAAAATAAATATATATAAAAAGATACATTTAAGGATACTGATAGAATTACAATATAACTGGTTCATGGAAAAAGAATTTACCTGCAACCAACATATTTATTGCTAAAGTGAATTATAAGGATCCTAAAGGAAAGCAAAGGACATTTCAAGGTCTTTTCCTTGCTTTCTGAACTACCTCATAATTCCAATTTCTAAGTTCTTCCTGAGTGAACTGTCTTGGTCATGACTGTATAAGACTTATTTGCAAGAATACAGGGATAAATGAATATTTAAGAACTCAATTACTAAAATTTAGCATGTTATTAAGTCAAATAAGAAAAAACATAGGATTAAATGGGTGCTAAAAGGAATCTATTTAACAGTTAATAGTTATTTCTGGGGGCTGGGATTATGTCTCAGAGGTAGAGTGCTTGCTTACCACATGTGAGGCACTGGATTCGATCCTTAGCACCACATAAAAATAAAACAAAGATATTGTGTCTACCTATAACTAAAAAGTAAATATTTTTTAAAAATTAAAAATAGCTAATTCTGATTTTAAAAATTTTTAGTAAGCTAGGAATAAAAGATACTTCCTTAATTCTCTCCCTTGTAGACTTTCAGATATAGTACCTCTCAGGTTGGTAGGGCCTTAACCTCAACCTGGTCTTGCCTTAAATTTATATTGTAAAAAATTCCCCTAATATTTTTTCTAGCATGAGAATGGTAATATTCCCTGGTTTACATTGTAGCTATCGATTCTCTTTTCTTTCTTTCCTTCTTTTTTTAAAAAATGCCCCCTTGGCCACTTCTCAAATTCCATTTAACTTTGTAAAGGACCAAATCAGGCTCATATTGTTGCTTGGGAAGCACCAAGCCTAAATCCTAAAGTAAACTGAGTTTATATCCTGGCTCTGCTACTTACTACGTATGTGCTCTTGAGGGCTGGGGCTGGGGCTCAAAGGTAGAGTGCTGGCTTAGACTGCGTGAGGCACTGGGTTTGATCCTAGCACCACACGAAAAAAAATATTGTGACCACCTATAACTAAAAAATAAATATTAAAGGAATTGCTAGGAAGAAAAACATCTAAGCATAGTAAGAAGTTTCAATCCAGAAGAGCTCCTAAATAATAATTACCATAAAAAATGTTGCAATCTTTATATAGAATGTATGGTGTAAGAACTTATGTACTAAGAAGGGTGTTTTGAAAATTTAACTTTGTGGTTACCTAACAATTTGCAAGCAGAAATCTTTAGACACGATCCCACAAGACTCAAAACCTGTTACTACTGTTAAGTTTCTTTCATTGTATTCCTGTCACAAATTACATGATTTTAAGAAATAGAAAATTTATTGACTATTTCTTTTCTCTTTTCCATTAATCTTTCCCTTTCCTCCTTTAGTTTTTATACAAAATTCGGAAGGTGTTAGAGTATTTAAGTCTTCCTCCCACCCCTGTCTTTCTACCTCCTAGTTCTCCATAACCCTATTACCAGAAATAATTACTTTGTCAGTTTCTTAAGTACTATCCAGAAATAATCTATGTATATACAAGCATTACATGTCTATATGTCCTTTCTATAAAATATACAAATGGAAAGAAGTGTGTCTATTTTTCTGTCCTTGCCTTAATTTATCTTCATTTGACTATATTTTATTTACTTTTTGTGTGTGTGTGTGTGCGTGTGGATTAAGTTGTCAAGACTGGCTTTGACCTTGTGATCCTTCTGCCTCATCCAGGTCACTGAGATTACAGGTATGTGTTACCACTTCTGGTATCATTTTATTATTAAAATTTTTTTTAATTGTAGAAAAATATCAGAAAATGTACAATCTTAACCATTTTAAGTATATAGTAGTTGCATACTCACATTATTAGAGCCAATCTCTATAACTTTTTCATCTCATAAAACTGAAATTCTATCCCCTTCTCTTAAACCTGGCAATAACCATTCACTTTTGTTTTTATAGATTTGTCTACTCAAGATAACTCATATATATGATTATACAGTATTTGTCTTCTTGAAACTGGCTTATTTCACTTACTATAATGTCTTCAAGGTTCATCCATGATGTAGTACATGTCAGAATTCCATTTATTTATTTATTATTCATTCACTGGAATTGATCACCCAGGGGACTTTGCCACTGAGCTACATTCCCAAACCTTTTTTAAAATTTTGATACAGGGTCTCATAAGTTGCTGAGTCTCACTAAGTTGGGCAGGCTGGACTCAAACTTGGGATCCTTCTGCCTCAGCTACCCAAATCACCAGGATTACAGGCATGCAACACTGCCTAGCAGAATTCTCTTATTTATTTATTTATTCATAAATTTTGATGGACCTTTATTTTATTTATTTTTACATGGTATTGAAGATCAAACCCAGTGCCTCACACATACTAGGCAAGCGCTCTACCATTGTGCCACAACCCCTGCCCGAATTCCCTTATTTTTAAAGGCAGAATTATATTCCATGGTATAGATATGCTATATTTTATTTATCCATTCATCCATATGGACATGTGTTTCACTGTTTTTATTGCCACATACTATTCCATTATATAGATATTCCACTCTTCAATTAATTGGTCTAGTCTCCTATTAATATATTCAGGTTATTTGTAATTATATTGTTTTCTAGTTTGCTGAAACAAATTACTATAAATTTGGTGGCTTAACATTTATTTATTATTTTGTAATCTAGGGATCAGGAGTTCTCAAATCAGTGTTGGAAGACCTGTGTTCCTTCTGAAGGATCTAGGAAAAAGTTATGAGCTAAACTGTGTATCCCAAAATTCTTATGTTGAAGTCCCAATTCCCTACATCTCAGAATGTCTGCATTTGGAATCAAGGTCTTTAAAGGGGCACTTAAATTAAAATGAAGTTTAATAACCTAATGGGTAGGCCTAATCCAGTATGACTGGGTTCTTAAAAGAGATTAGAACTATAGGGTGCAGTAATGCACACCTGTAATCCCAGTGACTCAGGAGGCTGAGGCAGAAGGATTACAAATTTGAGGACAGCCTCAGCAATTTACCAAGACCCTATCTCAAAAAGGGTTAGGGATACAGCTCAGTGGTAAAGCACCTACCTATGGGTTCTATTCCAG